TGATTGTTTAAAAATAAAACAAAATTATGTTTTTGAAAAATAATCCTCATCCTCTTTTCCAAACACATATGATTACTGGAGTTACCTTAGGTGATAACAGCCCTGGGATTTGATCATCCACAGTGGACACTTGGACCAACACTCCTATAAGCAACACTATTCCATTCTTAGTAGGAAGGGAGTCTCAGTTGAGTACAGAGCCTTCCGAGTTTGGGCCGGAGGCATTTCTAAGCAGCCTCTTGGTCTCTACTCATAAGCACAGACTTAGGTGAAAAAGAAAAGGAAGAAAAAGAACTTCGAATTAATGTACCTATACAATGGGACAGGTTGAGAAACATTTTAAAACCTGTGTCAAGTTTGTTGCATTATGGTAGAAACAGTGAATCAGCCTGATAAAATAAAAGTACAATTGGTATCTTCAGGATATCATTTAATCCTATCTGTACCTAGCATTCAAGAAAAGAAATCCTAAAAATGATTCCGTATCAACATTGTAAGTATCATTCAAATTAAATTAAAAGATGAAAAAAACAGAGGTTCTGCAATGTTGAGGACCTTATTGGGGTGAAGGCAGGATTAGAAGCCATGGTTGACACTCCATCATGGTCTAACATTAATGCCCCTGCTCTCTCCACTAGGCTGATTCTCTGTGGAAAAAAAAGAGAAGGTAAATGCTATGCTCTTCTCCAAGAAATAATATGCTCTGTGAAAACTGAGAGAGGCAGACATGAATTAATCAGAATTTGAATAGGAATCCACTTGCTGTTCCATCTGTGAAATATTTTTCATCTTTTAAAAATAAAAATCCTTAATAGAACATGTAGGATTGATAATAAAATAGTCTTCCAAGATACCATCCGTATGTATATTGTTTTACTGCTTCTCTGCTCACTCTGCATTAAGACCTTCATTGATTCCAACACCCAAGCCACCATTTTGTAAGCAAGAGCCATAAGTTACTGGTGGCCTGAGAGGGTTCATTCTGCATCAGTGTTGCTTCCCCCATAAAGTTCAACAAATTGCCTGAAATATGAAAATAATCTTCTTGATTTCCTTCAGTCTTCCAGATAAATACTTGTGAATTTAATTAAGGAGTCAGAAAAGACAGTTGGAATCAGAAAACAAAATGGTATCAATTACTAGTATTTCCCATTCTCTGATCAGGCTTGTCTTATCTGAAGCTGGTAAAGTTGTTTAATCTTTTCCATCATCTTAGGGAAAAGAGAGCCTGGAAAGTCCTAATCATTCCACAGTAACTATCAATGGGATTTTCCATAACTATCTGGATATAAAATGAAGATCCTAAGAAGTTGATCCAATTCTAAAACTTATTTCTCAACTTAATCATAAATATGAAGAGACAACTCAACCATATTTTCTTCAAATAACATCTGGTTGTTTGGCCAGACTGTTAATACCTGAAAGAGTTTCTGAGTTTGTTCCAACAAATCTACACTTAAAGAGCTTAAAAATGTGTTTTTGTGTTAAACATTCTTTTCCACATCTGACTTAGGGCCAGCGATGTGACTGTGAGAAAGAACCTTGCCAAGAACTCAGAAAGAAAGGGAATAAAATTGTCTTTTAGAAGTTAAACTGTGAAACCAGCACCTATTGGATTAGGGCATAGGAATGAGAAATCACCACAAACGGACAAAAAGTTGCTAGGCCAGCAAGATTTGGATGTGACTCCACTAAAGGTATAAAATACACATCTAAGGGTGATATTAATCATTCGTGGAGTCATGGAAGAAGGGTTATTCACACAGACTTGAGCAGTACTCACCAATGCACCATTCTGACTGGAAGGGGTCAGGAGCAGCACAGTTGAGGTAGCACAGAACCACCACCAAGTCATTTCTATTGTGAAAATGAATACATCACTTTGCCTTTGCCTGATTACCACTAAACCTTACCCTGGGCTGGTCTGCCTTATTCATGATGGAAAACTCCACTTTGAGCATACATACCAACCTAGGGCAGGCAATCATTAGATGTTTGCTCAATGAATTTGCTCCAACTCTTTGCTCACAACTTCCTGAGGATAATTTGGCTCCCCACATAGTTCTGACTACAGGGAGAGTATGAGCTAGTCTTGTGGATTTGAGAATTCTGGTCCTCATGCCAGCAATAAAACTCATTGAAACCGACAGTTTAGCATTTGAGTTTCCTTACTCGCAAGTTGCTCCCAAAGAAAGGGACCTTGTGTGCACTGCTTGATCAAGTTTCCGAGCCCAAAGGGCTTGCAGCAGGTCTCTGGGCTATGATAACTTTACCAGGATGATGATGATAGTAGTAGCGATGGTGCCAACCTTGGCCATGAGTAGAGCATCCTGTGTGTACCATCAGACATTGTACTATACGCTTTATATACTTGAACTCATTTAAGCCCCACAATAATCCAATAAATTAGGCATTATAAGCATTCCCATTTTGTAAGTGAAGATGCTGAGACTCAGAAAGCTTTAGTAACTTACCCAAAGACCCATATTCAGAGTTTGGATTCAGATCCAGATTTATCTGACCCTAAAGCCTAATTTTTTTAATTGTAAAAAAATACTACCTTTGGAGAGATGAACCTTTATCTTTCTCTTTGCCACACTCTTCTGCTTCAGCAGTGTGCCCTGGGCCATCCCAGTCCACCTTCAATATGACTACATCAATGCACCGCTACTGTCCAAGTCTTCACATAAAGTTACATAGCATACCAACGCACCCTTAATTAGAAGTGCACAAAGTCAAGCCCTGTTGCAAGGAACAGCAACACCAATCTACCCTATGCCATCAGTACCATTAGCTTCAGGAGCCAAAAACAGGGGCCTCTTTAACTTTTTCATCTCCCTCACCATGCCTGCCACAACCCATCCAATCATTCACATGTTCCTCAATTGAATCTCTTCAAGACTTCCCTGATGCATTCACTTCCCCCCGCTCACCATTCCCATTGCTACTACCCATCTCTCACCTGGATTACTACGAAAATCTCCAAGGTTCTGCTCATGCTTCTACTCTTGCTCCACGTTGCTCCATTTTGTGTCCACAACGTGGGATTGCATCCTTAAGGACACATTCAGGGATCTTTGTATAATCTAATCATGAATTCCACAGTTTAAAACTCCTTCAGTATGACCCCTCGCCATATCCTGTGCTTCAGCCCTCTTCGTGAGTGGTCTGCGGTTTTTGGGATTTACTCAGCTCTATACACTCTAGGATGGCACACACATACCCAGCACAGATACACCTACATCCCCCAAGACCAGCATTCTCTCCACATCTCCCTGGGCAGCCTGTACAGGTGTTTTAGAACTCACTCTCATTTTAGCTCCTCCAAGAATCCTGGATTAGGTGCCCAACTGAGGTCTTCTCATCACATCCCCATCTCACCCCTCATACCACTGTATGGGATTTTTAAAAATTATTATTTATGTGACTTCACCTTCAGACTCTGACCTACCTGAAAGCCAGGACCCACTTTATTTATACACAGTGTCTAACATGAACAAATACTTGTTAAGCAAATGAATGAATGAATGTGAACCTGGTATACCACAGGCATCAGAATCCACCCAGCTTTCTCAAGTATCAGCTGTATGATCTTAAGAAAGTTGCTTAATCTCCCTAGTCCTCAGAGTTACTGTCTGTAAAATGGAGATCATAAAATCTACACTTTCAAGTTATTGTGAGCTTTAAACTAAATCACATAATATGTGTGAAATCCTAGGTGTCATGCCTCATATATAGTAAGTATTCAACTGTTGGTTGTTATTATTATTGCTGTGCCCTTCAAGGCCCAACTGAAAACATTCACATTCTTGAAAGACTCTGCATCAATTCCCAGCCCACCATGATGACTGTGCTGCTCCATGCTACATTTCATAATGTATTATTTTGCTGCTTGAATATATTGTTTGAAAGGGTCTGCCTTTTCAGTACTTTCTTCAGGTCACCTAATACTTTAACAAATGCTTTTAGATGAAATGATATTATCAAGTTCAGTTTTGTTCTATAAACTAATGGTGCCTTTTTGCTATAGATCTTACAGTCCACTGGAGCTTTAAACCAGGGAAATTCATTTTGCAACTCCTAATGATGCAAATACCATAAAGAGAGGCCAGGGAGAGACACACGCTTAGGAGAAATGGCAGGGCTCTGGAAGGGAGACAGGTGGTGATCTCAAATTAGAAATCAGGTCTTAAAGGGACCACAAGCAAGATGAGGTTTCGAAAAAAGGGTGTCCTTTGTCACAACAAATGTGAAAAGGTGAATAGTCAGACTAATGCCTAAAAGAAACTTACAGCTTTGCCCCTGTAAGGAATACTGTGCAGTCATTAAAAATAGAAGACCAGCTAATAAAATGGCAAATAAGAACATGTAGGAGACGATGTTAAGTTTAAATATATTTAGACAATATAAGACTTTTGATCATAGTATGTAAAATTTGCTTTAAAATAAACGAAAAATCTAAAGGGAGTAGACCAAAATTTTAATAGCTGTAACACGTGGATAAGTTTGTGGGCGAAATTTTCTTTTATCAATTTCCCACACCGTTTGTAGTCTTGCCATATTCTTTTAAAATGTAAAAAATATTTCTTAGAAAATAGATATTCTGCGTACCTCTCTCGCAGATGGCTCCAGAAAGAAATGAGATAGTGCAGAAGACACGCCCTAGACTGCAGGGGGCTCCATGAGCCCAGAGTCTGACTCAGCAGCGTGCGAAAAGGGGCGAACGTAGGCACGGGGCGCCCTGCAGCTCGATCCCGCCCTGGATGGGTCCCTTCTTTCCCTGCCACCGCCTCGCAGGCCACCCTCGGTGGGCGCAGCGCCCCTCCCAGCCCAAGACCATGCTGTCCCCAAGCCACCCTCCTTGCGAAGGATCCCTCCGGGAGAAGGGAGGAGCCACAAGGGGCCGGAAAGAGAGTTCCAGGACTCAAGCCCCCGCGACTTCGCCCTTTCTGGTCCCGCGCGGCCCCCCACCTCCGCCCTTGCGGGCCGGTGCTTAGTACCTCTTGCAGGGGATCAGCGCCTTCCTCTCATCCAGCACTCGCACGCGCTGGTTGAGCCCGTCGTAGGAGAGCAGGGCGCGGCTGTTGCGCCCGCTGCTTTGCTGGTACACAACCTGGCGCCCCTCCCACTGCTGCGGCGCCTGGCAAGGGCGCGGGGCTCCCGGGGAGCCCACCGCCCCCAGGCCGCTCAGGGTCCAGGCCCAGAGGCCGCTCAGCAGCCAGGCGCCCAGGGCGCCCCGAACGGTGCGGAGGGAAGCGCGTCCTGCCATCTCGGTCGACCTTCCCCCAGAGAGCGAGCCCGAGCCCAAGGGGGCGCTGAGGCGTCCGGGCGCAGAGTGGCTCCCTCCAGCTCCCTCCGCACTGTGCCGGGAGTGTGGTCTGGACCAAAGTGCTTCCGGCCACCGCGGTGGCCTCTGCCGCTGTTGAGATCAGGACGCGCGAGTCCCGGGAGCCGGGACCAGGGCCCTGGGAAGGCTCCAGTGAATCGCGCGGGAGCTATTTCTGCCTGGGCCAGTGCCTGCTGCCGCCTTGGTTTTCACTGCTCACTGCTGCCAACAGGAAATGCAGTGGCAGTGGTGCCACTAGCATCCTAGGAGGCATCCTGTTTTAAGAGGGGGATGGGGGAGACTGTGCTAAGAAGTGTGTTTCTCCACTAAGTTCGGTGTTCAACAGGTAATCACACACTGAGGGGCAATTTCAAAGTCAAGCTGCTGCGTTTACTGTGCCCCCACATACATTGCCCCTGGACAAAACTGCAAACTTCTTCCACTAAATTAAAAGTGGAAAGATGGGTCTTTTCCTGAAGAAATGATTCTAGCTATTCATGATGGCTGTTTCTCACACCCCATTCCCAGTGAAGAGTCTAGGAGACTAGTGGACAGCCCCTTGCATTGGGCCTAGGACTCATGGGCGTTGCCTCAAGGTCACGTTGCAGTGAGACTGCTCCTACCATCGCCTGGCAACACCACCAGTCGAGTGGTTTGGGTGTCTGGGGGGTTTAGCTTCTTCAAGAACAAGGTTAATTGGGCTTACGTTTATGTAATGTTAGGACTTACAATATGGAATGAGTGGGGCTCACACATCTGTATTCCCAACTACTCAGGAGGCTGGAGTGGGAGGATGGGCTTGGTAGTTACCGGTTGCAGTGAGCCATGATTATGCCACTACACTCCATGCAGCCTGGGTGACACAGTGAGACCGTGTCTCCAAAAACATGATAATAAAATATGAAATCGAGAAAAAAGGAAGCAACTAAAAAAATGTATGGCGTCTTTCCATTTAAACTGCATTTCCAGGATCATTAAGATTGAGACAGGTGAAAGTGGGAGATAGCATTCCTGAATGAAGGACATGAAAACAAGACAAAAGGGAATAATGCTGCGGTTCACAGACAAGGCAGAGGAGTACTCTGAAGCCATAGAACTCATTTTAAGGATTTTATCATTAATACCGAGGACCTTGGGAACTGTCAATCAATGTAAAGCTAGGGAGGGGCATCACTGGGCATACCCCTGGAAAGCCCACTTAGGCAACAGAAGGGGTAAGGTCAAAGGGAAGGCAGGGAGAGGAAGAAGCTACTGTTATAATCCTGGAAAGAGATGATCCTGACTCAGCTAAGGCAGTGGGAGTGGGCATGGAGAGGGTGGAAGACAGTTGGGAGCTGTGGAGGAGCATTTCAACTCAGAGGGAGAGGTTTCTGGTTTGGACCACTGGGAGTCCAGTCCTGAGTGAGGAGAGACAATCAGTTCATTTTAGGATTGGTTGATTTTGAACTGACTGTGGAATATTCAGCTGGAAATATTCACAAGACAGCTGAATAAATACTTCCAGAAACCGGCAGAGCTTTTGGATTAGGAAGCCATGGATACCTAGGTGGTAACTGAAGCCAAAGAGCACAACAGTGATTTCTGGAGCAATTCCTCACTCCCCCCTCCACCCAGCAAAGAAGCGTCTGGCAATGTCTGGAGATATTTTTGATGGTCACAATGCAGATAGGGAGGAGGCTACTGCTGGCATTTTGTAGGCGGAGGCCAAGGATGCTACTAAACTTCCTCTAACAGCCACCTTGCCCCGTCCAAATGAAGAATTATCTGGCTCCAAATGTCAAAAGTGCTGGGGTTGAGAAATCCTGGAGTTCAGAGGAGTGTTGAGTGTGAGAAGAAGGATTAGGATGGAGCCCTAGAGAGCTCCAGCCATTTAAAGGATGTGCAGAGAACAGGCATTTGAGGAGACCAAAAGAAGTCACCAGAGAGAAGCCACCAAATGAGGCAACTTTCCGAGCCTCGTTAAATAAATGTAAGGCACAGAGAGAATGGACTGAATGCTGAAGTAGGGTGTTCTAGAATCACAGCCTCCCTGGAGGGCATGAAGAGGAGGAATAGTTGACAGGTTTTCCTGATGCATCCTTCCCTGATGCCCTCTCTCTGCAGAAGCACTAGAAACACTACCAATGGGCCAAATGGGGCAGGCACAGAGCTTTTGGAAGAAGGGCTCTTCATTTCCTATTACCTTTTCTTTCTCTTTCCCTTTTTTTTTTTTTTTTTTTTTTTTTTTTGAGATGGAGTCTCACTCTGTCGCCAGGCTGGAGTGCAGTGGTGTGATCTTGGCTCACTGCAACCTCCACATCCCAGGTTCAAGCGATTCTTCTGCCTCAGCCTCCCAAGTAGCTGGGATCACAAGTGTTGCCACCACACCCAGCTAATTTTTGTACTTTTAGTAGAGATGGGGTTTCACCATGTTGACCAGGATGATCTCCATCTCCTGACCTCGTGATCCACCCACCTTGGCCTCCCAACGTGGTGGAATTAACAGGCATGAGCCACTGTGCCCAGTGTCCTCTTACCTTTACTTAAAGGGAATGCCTCAGAAAACATCAGAGAAGCCCATGAGACTCTGTGATTTGGCACTTATATAGTTAAACAGATGCAGCAGATTCAAGTTGGCTGCAGAAATTTGAACTTTCTCCAAGTTTGCCATCCTCAGACTCACAGGCAAAGGATAAGGGTAGTTCAGCTCATTCTATTGCTCCTCTGGTAGAAACTCTGACTAATAGTCTTTTTCGCTCAGTGAAAGGATTAGACTCATTGGAGTTTACTACTAGAAATAGCTTGAGATGTCATCCGGGCTATCCTGTTGCATGATATTTTACTAGCCTGGCTTGGCATCTTTGGAGGCTGAGACCTGTTCTATGGAAATTTAGACTACTTTTCTAGAGTGGCTTGGCAGTGTAAGAACAACCTGGGCATCCCCTAAATAAGAACCAGACTCTTTTGATGAACCCTGAAATGTATTGGTCTCATTTATTCTTTTAACTTACTATGGTTAATTCATGTTCCTTAAAAAATAAGATAACGCATTTGAAGTTCTTCGCTCCATGCCTTGACCACTGTAATCTCCCAATAGATGTCAGTTGTGCTTGTTGCTTCCTTGGCTGTTTTAATCCATAATCTTTAGTTTTAATCCTTAGTCCAAACTAAACTAATTTTGTAGGTTTGAGCTTTGAAGAGAAAAACTGTGCGTGTTAAATTCAAGTTAAACTGTATTTTTAAAGATTAATATTCAGAGAACATGTTTCCATATTGCTGATGCCCTAGAAATTAGCATATAGCAGAAGTCTTACCACTTGAAGATTGATATACATTTAAAGCAATAAAACCTCCCTTTTCTGTGGATAGCTGAGCCAGAAACTGGAATTACTAACTCTTCTTAATGCAAATAAGATAAAAGAGAAAGCAAAGCATACATATTTGCATTCCATAGTACACAGCTTCTTATTCAACCCAAGCAACAGTCTCTGAGCACATCAGAAACCAAGATTTTAGGTTGCCGAGGTGGAAATCCTTTGGTATGAAGGATTAGAGCAGGGGAGACCTTTCAGACTGTAGTGTCAGGTGTTTTCTCCTGGGTTCCACTAGTGCCGGAGAAGGGAACAGGGAGTTAGAAGGAAGAGGGAATGTCGGAAGGCATTTCTCAAGTTGGAAGATGCTAGCACACCTTACCCTAGCTCTGTTAACTTTCTAGAGCAGAAACAAACCAAATGCCATACTGGAAAAATGTCAGCCCAAAGTGTCTACTAGCAACAACAAACCACACTCCACACAAGGAAGGGCGGAGCGGGGGTGACTTATACAACGTGTCCCTCCTGTTCCGACATTCACTGCACTCTCCCTGCCCCGCAGGACAGTGTCCCAATTGTCCTCAGCGCTCCTCGAGCCACCTACTGGAGAAAGCAAATATGTTTCAGAATTAGAGGGCAGCAGAAGTTCCCATTTCCCCCCAACTCTATACTTGGGAAAACTCTAAGACAGAGGGAGCAAAGTTCAGTTTTCATTCCAAAGACTGTCTTTCTCTCTCTTGAAATTCTCTTCCGCACCCTCTCGTATCTAGTGTCGAAAACAACTGCCAGAGGTTCTTTTTCTTGGTCCGAAGAAAAAAGACTGGCCAGACGAAAAAGGAGGGACTTTCGGGGGAAAGCAGGCTTCCAGCCCTGGGCTGCAGCCCGGAGGGGATGATGTCACCGCTTCTGCAACGAGGGGCCTAGGGGTGGGGCGGCAGAGGGGGAGCCCGCGCCGCGCCTGCAGCTGCCAAGGGAGCGTTCTGAGCCCACGTCAGGGGAGGTGTCGGGATAAATAGGGTCCCGCAATGGCCGTGGCTGGCTGCGCTCCGAGCTGCGGAGTCCGGGACTGGAGCTGCCCGGGCGGGTTAGCGCCCCGAAGGCTGAGAGCTGGCGCTGCTCGTGCCGTGTGTGCCGGGCGGCCGAGATCCGCAGCCGGACCCCGCGGCCCCGCTTTGCTACCCACTAGAGTTTGGGGGAATAAACTCTCTTGCGCCCCGGAGAACTTTCTTCTCGGGGAAGGGACAGAGAGAGACGAAGGTGGCAGGAAGAGAAGGGCGCTTTCTGTCTGCCGGGGTGGTAGCGCGGGAGGGCAGTGCCATGTTCCTCTCCATCCTGGTGGCGTTGTGCCTGTGGCTGCGCCTGGCGCTGGGCGTGCGCGGCGCGCCGTGCGAGGCGGTGCGCATCCCCATGTGCCGGCACATGCCCTGGAACATCACGCGGATGCCCAATCACCTGCACCACAGCACACAGGAGAACGCCATCCTGGCCATCGAGCAGTACGAGGAGCTGGTGGACGTGAACTGCAGCGCAGTGCTGCGCTTCTTCCTCTGTGCCATGTACGCGCCCATCTGCACCCTGGAGTTCCTGCACGACCCCATCAAGCCGTGCAAGTCGGTGTGCCAACGCGCGCGCGACGACTGCGAGCCCCTCATGAAGATGTACAACCACAGCTGGCCCGAGAACCTGGCCTGCGATGAGCTGCCTGTCTATGACCGTGGCGTGTGCATCTCGCCTGAAGCCATCGTCACGGACCTCCCGGAGGGTGAGGACTGAGGAAGGATGGAGGGAGGCAAGGAGGCTCCTGGGGCCGGGGCTACCACTTGAGGACTGGATGGTCACACCTAAGGCTGTCAGGGGCTTCTGAGGCTTGTAGGAGGTGGGAAGGAGTGGGGGAAACATTTCCTTCAGAAAAAGTCTTGTTTCCCCATAGGACTTTTAGGAGCTAGCGAAGAGCATTGCACCCCATAAAGAAAAAAACAAAGATTTTGCTTACAAA